CCAAGAATTCCAAACCATACTTTAAAGAGCTGACATCTCAAAGCTCTCTGCCTAGATTGGTAACTTTCAATTTCACTTTCTCCCATGTGCACTGGATGTTAATCTCAAATTCTCAAATACAAAATGTATGATGAAATTTTTGAACTTTAGAGTTCTGATAAAAAATAAATTAACCAAACTAAATACTCATTCATCCCTAGAAAAAAGTTCAGTCACCCCTTCATTTTTGCAGGGGATCCATTTTGGACCCCTCAGTGAAATGGAAAATTGTCAATATTCAAGCCCCATTAGCTTGAATGGCTCCATTTTATCCCTCTCCTTTTGCTGTCTGCAAATGGGCAAGAGACATGGACTCCAAGTACGTGAAAACAGAGGAGTGAATGTAATATAGAAGATTTCTTGTTCTTGTGTGTCTTCAAGTCATTTCTGACTTAAGGCAACCCTAAAGCTACTGTATCATGGGGTTTTCTTGGCAAGATTTGTTCAAAGGAGATTTGCCATTGCCTTCCTCTGAGGCTGAGAGTGTGTTACTTGTGGAAATTTTGTGGAAGCCAGAAGTACACATTTGTGTAATTCTCCATGAGTACCACCTTTGTTCTTACTAGGCATGTAGGGAACATTTATGAACTGTCTCATATTTGGTGAGAAAGGATGTGTCTCCACATCAAATCACTGTACTGCAAAAGAAAACATCTACCACTGTGAGATTTGTTTTTGTCCTGGGCAACAGTACACAACATCAAAAAATGAAATAAAATACCAACAGCAGCAATAAAGCAAAAAGTCCTCCTTTTCATCAACAGATGCAACAACAAAGCAAAGCAAAGCCAAGCAAAGCAAAACAAAACAAAGCAAAGCAGCTTCATTTATATACTGTTTCATACTGTGCTATGCAGTGTCAACTGTAAGCTCATTGCTCCCCAACAGCTGGGTACTCATTTTAGCAACCTCGGAAGGATGCAGGCCTGAGTCAAGCCTGAGCCCTGGCTAGTACTGAACTTGCAACCTTGTGGTTTATGAGTGAGTGGCTGCAGTGCAGGCATTTAACCACTGCACCACCAGGGCTCCTGGTGTTGGATTTTGCACAAAAACAGTACTTTATAGAAACACAGATTTTTACTCTCTCTCTCTCTCTTTCTCTAGTTAAATTTTCAGCAAAGGTGGGAAATAACATAGAACAATGTGCAAAGAGTCTTGTAATTTCACCCAGTGGAGGAAAAACTAGAATGTCAAAATGAAAATTACTTGTATGATATATCTCAAGTATCATAATTATGAATAAGTTTACACAAGCTTCATGAAACAAATTTAGCGTTTCTTTTACCAACTCAAAAAAGACACACTTTAATTATTAAACAACAGGCTGATTTGGAAGAAAAGGGTTTCAAAATGCAGTGGTTAATGTACTATTAGTTAAGGGAAAGATTTAAGGAAGATAAGGTAAACCATGGTTTTGAAAAGAAAATAACAGAATTTGAGAATATAATTAACTCAG